CGCCTTTTAAATCATTGATCTTCTTAAAAGGCAATTAAATTATAAAATCATTATTTTTTGTGTGAGAATTAAGAATTTAAGACCATAACATGGACTTGTTTGGGCTTGCCTCGAGAGACGTGGCACAAAGGCGGCTCGTAGAATCAAGAATGTAATATGCTTTATATCACATTAGCTACTTAAAGTAATGCAATTGAGGAAAAAAAGAGATTGTGGGTTTTACATGCTTAGAAATATCTATATGTTTGATTTTATTTTTAAATTTTCATTTAAATACACTTTACATGTTATATTTATGTATTTTAATATTAGATTATAGGTTTTTGAAAACATTTAAGTTTATATTTTTTATTAATATTATGTTTAATATTTTTTATTTTTTTATTTTTTTAATTTTCCAACTTTTTTAGCATTTTTTTTGTATTTTTGCGCCTTTCTTCAAAAAGGCACACACCTCGCCTTGCGCCTCGGGCGCAAATTGCCCCTTGCGCTTTTAAAACATTGGTTCAAAGTAGCCCACCAAAATACTCCAACATCCCAACCATTCTCTTCGTGTCCATAAATACTTCCTATAACCTTGTCTCACAGCCTCTCCCTCTCTAATGGCCATATCCACAACCAGTTACCCAATTGAGTTGCATTCTTCTTCCCTATATTACCTATACCTAAGCCCCTTTGTTCCTTACGCTTACAAACTACCTCCCATCTCACCAAGTGATCTTTTCTTCCTTCTTTCAGCTCCCATAAGAAATCCCTCATGATTTTTTATACTTTACAATTCCACACCTCCCTTTGTGGCACTTAAAGACTGAAAGGTAATAAACTAGAAGGTTTGCTAAAGTAGACTTCATCAAGGTAATACGACCACCCAAATATACACAGTTCCTCTTCCAAGCTGACAATTTCTTAGTACAACTTTCAAGAATTGGGCACTTAAAAGACTGAAAGGTAATAAACTAGAAGGTTTGCTAAAGTAGACTTCATCAAGGTAATACGACCACCTAGAGATGCATAGTTCCTCTTCCAAGCTGACAATTTCTTAGTACAACTTTCAAGAATTGGGCTCGAAAAGTTTCCTTCCCTTGGGTTGACTCCCAAGGGCAAAACTAGGTATTTTAGCGGCCATCTAGTGGTAAAACAACCTAATGTCTCAACAACCCTAGACACCTCCTCCCTAAATTCATCCCCATCACACAACTCTTTTCAAAATTAATCTTAACCTTAGAGATATATGCAAACAATTTTATCATCTACTTTAAAATCCTTACCTTTTGAGGATTCGCAGTTTCACACCTTCACAAAAATTATTGTATCATTAGCAAACTGCAAGTGTGTAACTACCGAACTCTCTCTGCCCACCCTCCAACCTCTAAAAAGTCCCAAGACATTGCCTTTTGAGATAAGTTTACTAAAAATCTCAGCCACCAAGGTAAATAAGAATGGGGAGAGAGGACCCCCTTGTCCCAATCCTCTGGTTGCGGGAAAGAAGTCTCTGACCACTCCATTAACTAAGACTGAGTAATGACAAGTTTTCAAGTATCCTTCATCCAACCACACCACCTCCCTCCAAATCCAAAATTTCTCAGGGTGTCCAAAAGAAAAGACCAATCAACCATGTCAAAGGCTTTCTTCAAATCCAACTTACACACAAAACCTTTTTCTCCCCTTTTTTCAAATCCTCCACACACCCATTAGCTATCAGAATTTGATTTGTGATTTGTCTTTCCTAAATAAAGTTAATAAACGCCCCTTGGGAACGTCTTATCAAGTCAGGGAGGGCCAACTATAATCTTAAGGACAAGACTTTGGCCACGATTTTATAGAAACTATTAACCAGGCTAATGGGTCTGAAATCTCTCGATCGAATGGCATCTCCCTTCTTAGGAATTAATGCTAGAAAGGTGAAATTAATCCCTGGGTTTATGAAATGTTCCTTTGCAAATTCCTCAAAAACTATCCAAAAAGCGATTTTAATTATCTCCCAGCAATCTTAATAAAAAGCCATAATGAAACCATCCGGTCCTGGTATTTCTGACCTATCCATTGAGAACACTGCCCCCTTTATCTCTTCCAGATCAAAATTCCTTTCCAACATTCTTGCCATCTCCCGGTTCAGCCTAGATCATTCCAATCCTTCCACAGATATTCCCACAATATCTTGACGTTTAAACACAAACTTAAAGTGATTGACAAAACAGTTGACAATCTCTTCTTGATCAATCAATTTTCTCCATTCACTTCTAATTTCCCCACAAAATTTTTCCTTCTTCTGCCATTAGCAAGTGCATGGAAAAACTTAGTATTGCCATCCCCCTCTTTGATCCATTGGTGCCTCAATTTCTGCATCCAACATTCTCTTCCCTTACCAAAATTTCTTCCAATTCTTTTTTCAAAGACCATCTCAAGACCTTGTCCTCCTCTCTTATCAAACCTTAACTCTCCTTATTATCCAACTGCTCTATTTAAGAGGTTACAAATAGTTTCCTTTCCTCAATTCTTCCAAAATATTCTCTATTCCACTCTTTGTTTTAAGCCTTTGTAATTTTCTATAAAATTTAACACCTTACCAAAACCCTCCCCTCACTTCTTTTCCCCACCAGTCCTCCACCTTATGATTAAAGTCTGGGTGTGTCGTCAACCATATGTTTTCAAACCTGAAAGGTTTGGGGCCACTCAAGAAATCTGTAGTTCCAATACTAATTAGGCAGTGGTCAGAGGTAACTCGTGGTAAGGCTCTTGCCAACAGTCCTATCCAATGTTCTTCCCATTCAATATTAAATAAGAACCTATCCAATTTGAGCAGCTGAGGGGGACTTGTAAGTTGGACCAAGTGAACACACATTACTGAGTAGGCATTTGCTTAAGCTCACAAACCTTAATGAACTCATTAAATTTCCTCTAACTAGTATAGACTACCTGTTTGGGGTTGTTTGTCTCACTGGTAAACCTGACCACATTGAAGTCTCCACCTAAGCAACAAGGTCCATTCCATAAACCTCTGATTTCACAAAGCTCCTCCCATAATTCACTTTTCTGTCTATATCTATTGGAACCATAAATGTTCATCAACACACAAGTAAAGCCACCACCCAAGTTCTTGAATTTTAAGGATACGAGAACCGACTTATTAGTTCTTCCAGTGACTCCACCACCTCCTTCCTCAACATTGTTAATATGCCCCCTGAAGCTTCTCACAATGGTACAAAAGACCAGCCTATACCTCTACAGCCCCAAACGCTTCTTACCTCCTATCCATCTTAAATTTGTCATCAAAAGAAGCTAAATTTGCTTGGAGGTGGGGCTGGTTGTAAAGGAGAGGAAGAGGTGGCACCAATTCAGTTTTCTGAGAGGAATGTAGTCTTGGAGTTGGGAAGAATCAATGATGATCAAATGGCTCTAAGTGATCTGAAGAAGTAACCTAACACTGTAAGATAATTCAATAATCAGAATGCCCTTAGAACAGTCCAAGTTTCAAAAGTCTTTGCAAGGTTAAAGGGGGTTTGTACGGAGTTGGGCCTACTAAGAAGGTGAAAAAAAAAGTCAAAGAAATCGTGTAGGAGAAGTAAAGAGATTTCTATATAATTATTAGGATAATGGAGAGTTTGTTCCTTTCTGTATTTTGTTGGAGGGTTTTGGTCATGTCCTGTTCATTGGGGGGTGTTTTTTTTTCTCTCGAGTGACTGCTGGTCACCTTCATTCTCTTTTTACTTTCTTCTAATAAAATTTTTTTCATTATCAAAAAAAAAAAAGAGTTCTCAGGGGCATCCCTATGATTTTTAAAGGAGTAGGGAAGAAAGTACTCTTTCCAATTGGGCCTTAACATTTGGAGTCAAAGGCTTACAAACTTCTGAATCCACCATTCTTGGCTCAAACGAAGTGAGCAATCGGATCTCAATAACAGTGCCCTCCTCAAGGACCTCAACTAAAGTAGTTCCCACTTTCCACAGTGGCAACACCTAGTCCATTGCTATTGGTCAATGAGTGGTGGCCCCAGTGCAAGCCATCGACAAAAGGCTAGGGTCTCTACTCTGCTAAAGACATCCTCTAATCGTATAAGGCATTTCCTCTATCAGATGCAAAGACAAAGGAAGATGAGTTTGCCTTCCTTCAGTAATCAGTACCGTTGAAATTGGGGGAGAAAGGGAGCCACAACTTCCACTTTCTTTGATCCTACTGAGGTGGATACAAGCAAGGGCTCAAACATTAAGTTTCATGAGGTTGATAACATCTCCAAGTTTCCTAATGGACAAAGTGGTGGATTCACTGGCTTGTGAGGTAGAAGTGATTGAATCATTGGGTTTGTTTTCCTTAGTTGGAAAATAAATCATTGAAGCTACACTTAGGTGGATGGAATTGCATGAAAATTGAAACTGCCACAATGAGTCAGAGGCAGTCAAGACTCGAAAGACCATCTGGGAGTTGCTTTTCTATCAGCACATCTGGGAGTTGCTTTAGGAGGTCCGGCTTGGTTGGTAGTTGGATATTGGAGCTCAATGGTGGATCTAGGTGCTTGTAATAGGTGTTTACCTTAGGATTGAGGCAATTGGCTGCCAAGTTGTTGGGTCTCATGTTTTTGGTCTTTTAGTTCTTAGGGTGAATCTCTTGGGCTGCAAAGCCTTCACCAATTTTGTAGACCTTGTTTTTTTCTTTAATATAATTTTCACTTTACTATCAAAAAAAAGAAATATGTCCATCAAGGTCTTCCTCCCTACATCTAAACATTCATTATACAAAAAAAAAAAAAACTAACCACAGAACTTCTTAATAGCAAAAAGGTGGTACAGTTTGCTAGATGCAAATAGATGATTTCTGGATATGAAATGGATTTCTAGATATTTCAATTTGGAAGAATTTTTATTTATATTTTGAAAAAAAAAGGAATTTATTATAAAAGATATGACTGCAGTCTGCAGACAAAGAAGTCATACTCGTATCACCCTGCAACTATGGTTATAAATAATCATAAACAACTAAAGATGTTAAATCGTAGTTGCAACTACCTCCCCGTGAAATTCTGAAGGTCTCTCGTAAGTTGATTCTCCTGTTAAAGCATTATAGTAGTACACAACCCCTGTCTCAGTCTTGTGGGCTGTCCACGCATCCACTTTGGCATTAACAGTAGCTCCAACTTTGTCAGCAAGGTCATCAATATGTTTATGCTGATCTGCAAAAACCATAAAAGATTAGTCCAGAATTAACAAATCCAACATTATTACCTCACCCTACTTTGGAGTCTTGACTTACCAGTTCCTGGAGGGGGTAAATCTGGTTGTTTCCCAGTGGTGTTTGACGGCAGATGAACAGATCCCACAGAAGATGAGGGGGTTCCTCCGGGAGGTCCCAAAGGAGAAATACCAGGAGGTTGTGAATCGGGCACAGGAACAGAAGGAAGAGGCATGCCACGCATGGGCAAAGGATAGGATCCGGGAAGGACACCAGGGTATGGTAGAAAAGGAGGCCTTTGCAAGCCACCAATTTGTGGTGGTAACCAAAGTCCCTGAGGAGGTGGAGGCATGCTGGGCAGAGCAGGATAAGGAGAATGCATTTGCTGCTGGACGGTTGATGGAACGACGGGTCTCAGAGATGTAGAAGATGAAGAATCCATGGCTTCTGAATTAACAGTGACCGTAGAGGACAATGGTGTGGAAGGAGCTATCCCTGGGGGTCCAGGTGTTCCAGGAGTTATTGGCATTCCAGGAGGGGGAACAAAAGATGGTGCAACAGGCATCCACAATGTTGCTGGACACAAGTTAGGAGACGTAGCTGCAGCCAATGAACTTGGAGAAACATGAAAAGGCATCGATACAGGAACAGAACTAGACGATGCAGGAGATACTGTCCCAGCTTCTCGAGCAACAGCAACTGAGGCACTCTGCAACCATTCAAAGAATAATTTTTTTGATAAGTAAAAGGAAAATTTTATTAAAGAAACAAAAACCGAATAGAACCAAATAAACAGGTGTTAAGATAACATCATAGAAAGACTCCCACCCAAACTAAGACAAAAACTCAAAGAAAAGCTCAAAAGAGAACGAATTTCCACTAAAACATCAGAAGCAAATTTGCAACAATGAAGCTCAATTAATCTTCAATCTCTCCAAACTCTTCATGGCTTCCTTCCTCATCCCAAATTTCTCCTCCAAGTGCACCACCAGCTTTTCTCAGACTTTCTTCCTTCCTCTTCCTTTCAAAGGCTTCAAAAGCTTTCCTTGCAAAACTCTCCCCTCCCAAAAAGAATAAGCCCAGGGACTTGCCAATTTCCACCTCTCTATCAACTAACCTCTTCAAATCCACACTTCCCTTCTTTTTCTTCTCCTATGGCACCACATTGGAAGAAATCTCAAGGCTTTTATTTTCATCCAAGCAAACCATCTTCTCTACCAAGCCAACCTTCTTCTTCAGACCATCATCTTGGGGGTTAGAGGGATGAAACTCATTCCCATATCCAACCTGCAGAGATCACTTCTCCACTTGGGGGTTCTCATAACAAAAATTTCTAGATTTTGCTTCTCTTCTTTTATAAATTCTTTTGTATTTGTTAGTAGGCCCTGCTCCTACCAGACCATCTTTCTGTCTCAAAAAACCTTTGTAACATGAACAACGTTAGACTTGAAGCTCTGGGTTTCTTTTTGAAATCACCAAAACATCACCCTTTTCAACCCAATCATTCTCCTTCCTCCAACGACTCAAATCAACACCCAGTCTTCCAAGAATAATTCAAATTTTGAATGAGATTAATATACTCTTTTTCATTTTAGTATCTTTTCTTAACCAATGAGGGTTATAGCATTCACAGTTAGCAAAATGGAAGTCAGAAAAGAAAAGGTAGCCAGCAAAAGTTCCAAGTGCCAATTAGATTGTGTAGTTGACTGATTTACAATGCCCTTGATAACTCACTTGCAAAGGGAGGGTAGGGATATGTAAATCTATATAAGAGATTCCAGGCCCAGGAGTGCAGTTATAGACATATATCATTATTTGTCTACGTTCAGCCATAAGTTGTGTACTGTGCCCCCTTTGTTCAATTCCCCCTTGAATGAAAGGATTTCTTGTCCATATTAAAACTATCATACATGTACAAGGACATGCATGATGCATCACTTTCCGTATTTTATGTTTCCTATTTTAAATACCTGTGCTGCTTCTATAACAAGTCCTAAGTGTGTACTGATGTTTATTTCGTATTTTATAAAGGTTTTTCATAGATATCCAACATTTGCTTAGCCTTTCATCATTTTCATAATTTTAAAATGTTTCTGTGAAGTTCCAGAAACTTCCACAAATTAATCCCACTTCCATATGGAGTAATTTTTTCATTAAAACTGAATTTTAAAACCTTATCAGTACTCTCCTACCCAAATAAATAGACAGATATTGGTCAACTCACACTCGGAGCAGTAGATAACAACCTTTTAACATTTGATTCTTTATTACTTAGCCAAGTTGAACCATATCATGTTTGAATATAAAGGCAAACTTTATAATGGCCAATCTGCATTCAGCCTAAGGCTAAATCTTTCTTAAATTTGTTCAAGATTATAGGCCAGTTAAGTAAGTATTCAGTACAAAAAGCATGAGAACTAGGTTTAAAGGTTATCAAGTCTCACATGCATCAAGCATATATGCAATTAAAAATCTTACCGAATTCGACGATAGATCTTTCTGTGCCAACTGTGGAATCCTATTGAAGGAAAAGCTTGTTGCAATAGATGGTGCTCCCTTTGGAACAGAGACAGGTGAAGGGCCCTGAGATGCCATGAATTGTGCACCAGTTCCAGGACCAAAAGTATTAGGATGTCCAGGTTGCCCTGGCACTGGAGGTTGCAAGGATGCTGCGGTGGTTGATGGAGTACTATTTCCAACTTGTGAATGACCTAAAGGTCCTGAACCAACATCCTAAGATGCAACAAAACAATGGTTATATATCAATTGCAGAAAAAAGATAAAAAAAACAAAGCACAAAATAAATAAACAAGTATAGAACTAAGAAGATGAAAACTAAGGAATGAAAAAAGCACCAAGAGGAGATTGATGATCTGACAGGAAAAAAAATTAGTAACACGCAAGATGAAGAAGGTATATAAGATGCTTATCAGGATAGAATGCAACAACAGTATAATGATGAAACAGTAGTTTTTTTATCAATAACTAAAGCATTTTATTAATTAAAGTAGGAAGAAAATGTACAAGACATTCAATACAGACAAAGACTGCGAGAGATAAAACCTCTTATCTCTCCCCCAACACATCCAACTCCCTTTCAATTGTGCCAAGATCAGAGAATCTCTCCCCATCCCTTGTTTGGCCAAAGCATCTGCTATAGAATTAGCGGTTATCTTAACCCACCCAACATTTATATTCATAACTCTGGTTAGCCACCACCTGATTTTCTTCCCCTCATTATTAAAGAGCCACATGTTCATCCCCCCCCCCCTCTTGTAACCAGAAAATCACCAGTTTAGAGTCTTCCTCCACAAATAGCTTGCAAATGTTCATTAGTTTTTCCCTTTGAATGACTTCCACTACTACCAACACTTCTGCTCTCAGAGAGTCTCCCTCCCCAACTGGCCCCGAGAACATATCAATAATTTTACCCTCCTCGTCTCTAAATACACCTACAATACCTGATGGTCTAGGATTCCCAAACTTCTACCATCAAAATTAAGCTTCAAAGTCTCTAGTCAGTGGTGACCAAAGATGATTAATGACTGACTTTGTACAGAAGAATCGGTCACTTCCTTCCAACTTCTTACTGAATCAGCTGTTGACACATGAGAGAAGGCTGCCAAGGAGCACCACTTTAATCTTAATAGTTTCAATGATATCATCTTTATGTTTTTCTTTTTCTAAGAAGATACTTGCATTCCTTTCCTCCCAAACCGTCCACATAACAGCAGCTCTTATGCATATCCACATTATTCTCCCTCTCTTTGTTGACCAACCAAAGGTAGTTGTATCAAATAGGCTTTGAACATCCGCTGGGGGATTCCACCTACACCCAAAGAGGGAAAAGCACCAACCCCAAATAGGAGTAATAACGGAATAAGAGATAAAAAGGTGAAAGCAACTCCCACCATCAGCCTTACATGATACACACCAATGAGGGAATAAACACCATTTGGCCACTTTCTTTGAAGTATATCAAGGGTGTTAATCTTTCCATGTACAACTTCCCAACAAAAGGCAACAATCCTTAGTGAGATAGCTTTGCAGCACACCTCTTTCACTGGAAAAGAAGGCAGACCACTAGTGGAGGGTTGTAACAAGGTTTTGAAGGAGGCATACGAGAAGGACCCCGAGGAGGTACAAGTCCAGACTCGGTTATCAAGCCTTGAAGGTTCAAGGAAGACTCCTTCCAATAATTGTAATAGGCTAAGAACACACTGAAGTTCTGAGTCTCGAACACCCCTCCAGATATCCAATCCCAATTAACCCCATTATTTGAAAATGGAGATTGAACAAGTATCTTAGAAATTGGCTCATCCTTAAAGCTTTGTAAGGCAAAGAGAGAGGGATATTGGTCCTTCAAAGGGGAGGCACCTAACCAATTGTGTTCCCAAAATTTAACATTGTTAGCATTACAAAGGTGGTATATGATAAAAGGAAGGAATAAACGTAGAATTGCACTAGGCATTATACCAGCATCCCATACATTGTCCAAGAGCCTATGGATACTCGCTTCGCTATCACCTTTGTCCACAGTTTGTCCCTATCCTGAGGCAACATCCAAAGTCACTTCCCTAACAAAGTTGTATTTATTCTTTTTTTTTTTTTTGATCAATAACAACTTCAGCAATTTTATTAAAATATCACAAGAATAGTTACAGCAAGGAAGATAAACACTCTTTATCTTCCAAAAACAACTTAAGTCCTCAAAGAAAGAAAAGGAAAAAAGAAGCAATTTAGTTACAACTTAGCCCAAAACATTGCATCCCTTTCTATCCCCTGTTTAGCTAGCCCATCAGCTATAGAGTTAGCTGTTCTTTTAACCCAACTCATCCTGATTTCCATTTCCCGCACCAGCCACTTGAACTTTCTTCTCTCATTGCTGTACTTCCATAATCCACAGTTGTCTTTCCTCAGCCACCCTATCACCACCTCCGAGTCCCCTTCAATTATGAGTTTTCTGATGTCCATCTCCTTAGCTTTCTGAACTCCTTCCATAACTGCCAAGATCTCAGATCTAAAAGAATCCCCCACTCCAATTGGACCTGAGAACATGGCTGAAATGACCCCGTTCTCATCCCTAAAAACACCCCCAATCCCTGATTGTCCAGGATTCCCCCTACAACTCCCATCAAAGTTCAATTTTAGGAATCTAGCAGGTGGGGGTGTCCTAGACACCTTCACAACTGATTTGGACTTCATACAGCTTGCAATCTCACCCCACTTCCTCAACATGTCATCCACTATGTAGCCTGTGAATAGCTCTAGAGATTTCAGCCACTATACAGCCCTGATATGGATCACAGCCCTCAATTCTTCAGCCCCTCTCTCTTCATCCGAGAAGATCCTAAGATTTCTTTCTTCCCATAGAGACCAGCATACTACAGCCCTCAGTCCTCTCCACATAGTCCTTCCCCTTTTCACACGCCACCTGAACAAAGAAGGAGAAAATAAGCTCTACAAATCTGATGGAGGGTTCAACCTGCGCCTAAAGAGAGAAAAAACCCATTCCCAAATTAACTTTGCAAATTTGCACAACATCAGAAAGTGAAAACCAGTCTCCCCATCCGCTTTGCATAGAACACACCAATAAGGTGATAAGCATGTATTGGGTCTCTTCTTTTGAAGCAAATCACCAATGTTGAATCTTTCCAGATAGGCTTCCCAACAAAAAATACCAACCCTAGGAGGAACTGGTCTGCACCAAACCTCATTAACCGGGAAAGGGGAGGTTGCAGGACTGGTGGACTGACGTAAGACTTTGAAAAAGGAAGCACAGGAAAAAGAGCCTATGGGGGTCGGGGTCCGAGTTCTAGAGTCCACCTTAGAGGAGTCAATGGAGACATTCAAGAAGGTCAAGGAGGCTCAAGAGACTGTGGAAGTCAAAGTCCCTCACAGCCCTCCTCAATCCCAGGTTCCACCCAAACCCAGAACTGGAGGAGGAAGGGGTGCTGAAAAAAGAAATTGGCTTATTTTTAAACTTAGAGAGGGCATACAAGGAAGGAAACTGGTCCTTAAGTGGAACATTCCCCAACCAAGTTTGTTCCCAGAATTTTATGCAAGTGCCAGAATTGAAATCATACCTGATAAGTGGGGAGAAGACTGGAAGCAAATCATGAATGGCTTTCCAAAGTGAATTGCTTGTGGACCTTGCTTTGATTCCAGCATCCCACCCATTATGCTCCATCCCATGTATGCTTGCCACTATTCTAGCCCATAGCCTTTCCTGCTCCAAAGGAAACCTCCACAACCACTTTCACAAGAGGGCCGAGTTCCTTTTCCCGATATTCCCGAGCCCCAAACCTCCAGAAGCTTTACTCCTGGTCACCATTTTCCAGCTAACTTTATGGTCCATCTTCTCCTCTCCCGGCTCCCAAAGGAAATCTCACATTAATCTCTCCAACCTACTAGGAACCTTCATTGGAATTTTGAACATTGAAAGGAAATAAATGGGTAAGTTTGCTAGCATGGCCTTGATCAGTGTAGTCCTTCCACCAAGGGAGAGATAATTCTTTTTCCAAGAAGCAAGCCTTTTTTTCAAATCTCTCCACCATCGGGCTCCAAAAGCTCTCTCTCTCTTGGGATTATCACCTAGGGGCAAACCTAAATAACTCAAAGGCCAATCTGATACTTCACACCCAAGCACTTTTGCATTCCCCCTAACCTCTCCCTCCTCCATATTCACACCCACTACACAACTTTTCCCGAAGTTCACTTTCAAGTTTGACATTTGCTCAAAAAGTTGAATCACTAATTTCAAAATCCTAATGAACTTCACATTACCTCCTTCACAAAACAAGATTGTATCATCAACAAACTGAGTGAGTGGGATGTCCTCCCTACCAACCCTCCATCCTCTAACGACGCCCCTAGAGTCTGCTTTGTGAATCAACCTTCCCAGCACATCAGCAACAAGTAAGAACAGAAAAGGGGATAGGGGGTCACCCTATCCTATACCCCTAGTGGCTGGGAAAAAATCTACCACTATCCCATTCACTAGTATTGAGTAATGACAGTTCCAAACACACCCCATGATCCATTTACACCATCTAGCCCCAAACCCCAATTTGGTCATGAATTTCCTCAAAAATTCCCAATCAACCATGTCATATGCCTTCTCCAAATCCAATTTACAAACCACCCCCTTCTTTTTATCCTTCTTGGAACTCTCCACACTCTCATTGGCAATGAGGATTTGATCTGTAATCTGTCTTCCACTCACAAAGGCACCCTGATTTTGTTCAATTAAGTCTAGCAATACCTTCTTCAATCTCAAAGATAACACCTTTGCAATGATTTTGTACAGGCTATTAACCAGACTAATTGGTCTGAAGTCCCTTGGGTGTGAGGCTTCTTTCTTTCTGGGGATCAGAGCAATGAAAGTGGAGTTCACCCCTCGATTAATAATTCCTCTCCTATGAAACTCCTCAAACACCCGTAGAAGGTCCTCTTTCAGAATATCCCAACAATCCTGATAGAAAGCCATTGTAAAACCATCCGACCCCGGAGCTTTTGTTCTATCCATAGAAAATACAGCTTCCTTAATCTCTTCCAAGTCAAACCCCCTCTCCAAACTTCTCCTGTTATCCCCCCCTACATCTGGCCAGTCCAATCCTTCCACCCACACCCTTCCACTTACAGGCCTTCTTAGAATGGATTTAAAATGTTCTATACATGCCCCAGTTATCTCCTCTTGCTGAGTTAACTCAATTCCATCCACAACCAGTTTGGAATTGAAATTTCTCCTTCTCCGTCCATCTGCCAAAGAGTGAAAGTACCTAGTATTTTTGTCCCCCTCTTGCAACCATTTACACCTAGATTTCTGCCTCCAGCTAACTTCCTCCTTATGTAGGCAATCCTCTAACTATCTTCTCAAGTCTCTTCTTAGTTCATTGTCCCCCTCTCCAAATTCTCCCCTTTCTTCTTTAAAGTCAAGGCTTTCAATTTTGTCCATCAGAGTTCTCTTCCTTTTTTCTAGCCTCCCATACTCCAAGATATTCCACTCCTTGATCTTAGCTTTCAGGAATTGTAGCTTCTTATGAAATCCCATCCCCTCCCATTCCACCACTCCCTTACCCTATTTGTAAACCCGGGATAGAGTAACCACATATTTTCAAATCTAAAAGGAGCAGGTCCTCCACTCCTCTCTTCCTTGCAAATCACTATGGGCCAAACCCCCTACTTATCCCTACACACCACTTCAGCTTATCTTGTGATCTCTCCTTTCCTCCCCTAGCCCCTTAAAATCCCTCATCATTACCTCTAATTTCTTGCTCACACTTTCTAAAATCTTAAAAATTGGCATGTAATAGACAAGTTAGCTAGTGTTGATTTAATTGAAGCAATTCTGCCACCTAGAGACAAATATCCTTTCTTCCAACTAGCCAACTTTCTACAGAACCTTTCTAATACTGGATTCCAAAAACCCACTTCTTTTGGATTTGCTCCAAGGGGCAATCCCAGATAGGTCAGAGGCCATGACACAACACTGCAACCTAAAATACGTGCACACTCTGCCAAGCTCCCCATTCTCTATATTTATCCCAGCTAAGCAGCTCTTTTCAAAATTTATCCTTAAATTTGACATCCTTTCAAACAGCTGCATTGATAGTTTTAAATTCCTTACCCAATCCAAGTTGTCTCCTTCACAAAAAAGAATAGTATCATCTACAAATTGTAAATGGGTAATGGGTACATCTTCACTTCCCACTCTCCAACCTCACACTAGCCCTAAGTATGAAAAGAAAGGGGAAAGATGATCTCCTTGTCGTATCCCACGCTTAGCTAGAAAGAAGTCTACCACTATGCCATTCATTAACACTGAATACTGACAAGTACTCAAGCACCCCCATATCCACTTGCACTATCTCAGTAGTTATGATAATGCACAAAGAAAAGAACTGAACCTACCACTTGATGGGATCTACCTACCAAGTTTGCTAAGCAATGAGCTGATTGATGATCCCAAGTGCCCAATCTTTCACTTGGTTTCAGGGACACCAGCTATACTTCTGAACCATTGAGAAGAATCAAGAATGCATAGATTGCATTGGTTAGGATAATCCAATCAATTAAAAATCAGGTAAGGTTCATTCATCAAAAAAATCAGGTAAGGGATATCTCCTAGATGCAATCAAAATGGCAGTTATTTCCCATTTTGCATACTGCTGTTTAATTGGTTGATAATGCTCAGATTTTACTTTACATGTTTAAAATGTCAACATATCTCCTAATAGTTCCAGAACACGTGTTGATTTCCATGGATACCAACACGAAATACTATTGGAATCAACATACTCCCAAGTGAAACTACTAGCACTATGTGGAATATACAAGGTGGTGTTATAACATGATGGGTTGAAAACAGTATTGTAGATACGTGGAGCAGCTGTATTAATGGCCAAGTAATGGAGACTGACAACTTTGAACCATCTCAAAATCTTTTTGGGGTGTGATGTTAAAACCTAATTTTTATTTGTGTAATTGATTATCTGGTTGATAGATTAGAATTATTTTTACTTTTTTATCAGTAATTGTTTTTAAATTTTTTAGTTCAAATTTTGCTTCAGCCTACTCTTATATAGTTTTAACACTTAAAAGATCCACAGGACAATTTTGCAGCATGTTATTTTGTATTACCCTTAGTTTCTTGGCTTTGTTTGGTGGGTTGGAACTAGACCTGTTCACAAGCCGAGCTTCAGGCCTGACCCAGATTTTGGCAAAAGCCAAGCCTGAGCCCGGCCCATGAACAGGCCTAGTTGGAACAACATAATAATCTAAAAGTATTGGTTTTGATATCAAATGTCACTTGGTAACAAAGACAACATTTTTTGTAGGTAAAATGTCAGAATTCAAAAGAAAAAAAAGAATTACTTTAGTAGTCTATACTTTCCCATAGACGTGTCTACAAGCCCATGCTTTCTCATCTTGCTGAGTCAGATTCTTGGACACGCATCAGATTCATTGTATATTTTTTGCACATTTCACAATGCTTCCACCATGTCTATAATTTTTATAATATTCTCGTATAGCATTTCTGACACTTCAGGCATATTTCTTATATTTAGATGGCCAATATTTCTACTAACACTGGCATCTTAAACCTTATAAACTAGTACAAAGTCTTACGGTGCTTGATTGTAATTTCTGCTGAGCAGAGGAGCCTATCTTAGCAGGTGGGATGATGTTGTATGAGAAAGTTGGTCCACTTGATAAAGATTGGCCAGGGATTGAAGGTTGAAAAGCTGTTGCAGATGCTGGTTGGTTTGATACTAAAGCCTGCATTAAACAAACAAAAAGTTGTATGGGGGAACGGAGGGGGATAATATCTATATAAATCAAAAAGATGAGATAAACACTGGAAGGTTTTCAATAAATCCTTACTTTGCTGATATGAAAAAAGTGGAAACTTACAGGACTAGATGAATTCTCCAAGGAGCTTCCAGAAGCAGTGTTTTGCTTAGGAATCACACTGTAAGAGAATGAAGGTGCAGGAACAACATAGCCTGGTCCGGTAATGAATTTTGCTCTGATGGATTCTTGTGCTGGTTCATTTGTGGTACCACTTGGACCCTTTGGATTTGATGGGCCCGAAACTGGTGCAGGGGAGGCAACAGTTGGATTTGAAGGGCCTGTAGCTTGTCCTAAACCAGAGGCTTGAGCTGTTATCCCAGAAGCTGAAGACTGCAGCTCCTGTGATGAGGACATTACTTATCTGCTAAATATAGAGATAACGAGATAAGAATCCAATGCACAGAGTATTAAGCCAAATACAGTGCCATGTTCACATAAAAAGGAAATGGTGAACATGAGAAATAAATTTCAAAGACTAAGAAACAAACTATCGAAGTAAGAAAAATAATCTGAAATTGTAGTAAAACCTTGGAAATATTAGTATAAGCCAGGAAGTCTACACCGAGAATTAGATTGGGAGACCATCAGCAGCACCAAAAAAAAGACAGGGAAAATCGACTATGTCCTCTAACCTTAAGCATCCCTGACTGTAGACCCCCAATTCTTCAACATAATGCAATGGTTTAATATGATTATATATTTGCTTATCGAGATTTGTATAGAAGCGTCCAATTCAGAATCAACGATGCAGGTTTAATAATTTGTGAACACTAAAAGTTACGAAGCAAACGAAATAATAACAAAAATTCGTCAATTATAAGCAAAGTATCGATTTCTGCAAGCGTCTGGAAAATGTGAAAATTTTCAAAACATTCATTCCACTCGTTGCTTGCACCAAAGCTTAAAAAAGTTAAGTTACACTAAAATAAAACCAAGCTTATACAGAGTATAACGTTACAGAATAAAACAATAAACCATAACACTGACTGCTCCAAGAAAATAAATGAAAGAAAGAAGAAATGACGATAACTGAAGCATAGAGCAAAAACATAAGCAATAGAACCATTTAATTGAACAGACAAACTCCAATTTTTCTCTAACCTGCAACCAGGTGTAAAGATGAGTAGGCAAATAAGCGGAGAGAGAGAGAGAGAGTTTGAAGATGGGGCGAAGTCCCTTTTTTCGTTTAAAAGAATAAGACAGGCGACGGCCAGTTTTCGTTTCAGAAGAAGAAGAAGAAGAAATAGAATACATGCCTGGTATGGAAGAGTATTCAGAGGAGTTTCAGTTCAATCTAATTTTGCAGCAGATGAGCTTCAATCCGTAAACAATTTCCAGGAAAATACTTCAATGGAGTTTGTTTTTTGAATCTAGGTCAGTTTGTGTCAATCTTCAACTCTTTTAACCATTATCTTCCGACGATCGAAGTTTTCTCTCCTCGTCAGCTCGACTTTTCGAAGTTAAAACTCGGACTGGTTAGGGTTTTGTTTTCTCTACCGAGATGGCAATGGACCAGAAAGCACTCCGGATCGTCTGCGTTTAGACTCATACAAAACCCCCCTTCGAGTATACACAATTTTGAGGCACAGCCGCTAAGACGCTTAACGGAAGCGAAAGTAACATATCAATGGACGAAAATGCCCCGGAAGTGTGGAGGATTTCATGTTTCAGGACTTGCCGGTTTATGGTGAAATGCTCTGCCCCTGCGTCGTTAACGTAGCCAGTTTGTATGTAGTTCTTTGCCTTTTGGTAATTTTATTGTATTATTAGAGCTAGTTTTTTATCTAACAACAAAATTTATTGTATTATTAGGGCTGCCGGTCAAGCGATAACGCATGACGTGGCAAAAAATTATACGAACTCGCTGGTATTTATTGGCAAGTCCAACCATGGACGATCCAAAGTAATATTCAAGCAACTTTATAATTGAGAGGTTTATGCATTTTTTTTATAGATTATAGATACAAAAAAATAAGAAGGAGCGCTTGATCTTAGGTTATTGCAAAACTTGAATCACATTAACTGAATCCATCAAAATATGGCCTTTCAAGAAGTTAGCAACATATTGGATTCCTTGTAGAATGTCATTTAACTCAGCTTCCTCCACGACCACGATCCCCGGTTCCTTGAAGTCCCCCCCTACAATTCCAATGGTAAATAAATATCATCAAAAGTATTGATATTTGGGATATTGTTCTTCTATCTATAAAAATAATAAGAAAATTTGTCGATTAGTACCTTGTATTTTGTATTTAGTGCTATTTTGTTTTTCGAACTTTAAAACATGACAATTTAGTATTCGAACTTTTAAAACATGACAATCAATATTTGTCATTAATCAATAGTTAGCCTATTGTTAAGTGACATTTGAAAAATGACAAAAATCTCCTTCGGGTGTTATTTAATTTTCTTTGTCAACCATCTAAACGTTGGCAAAAAAAAATAACAACCCTAAAGCTGAGGTTACGTTTGAGTGGGCATTCTGGTGACTTCAACTTTATTGAATAGAAGAGGCGAAGATTTAAGACTATGAATTTTTTTGTCAATATTTGAATAGTTGATCAAGAAAATTAGATGACACTTGAAAGGGTATTTGTGTCTTTTTAAATATCACTTAATGGCTTATTAACAAATAGTTAACAACAGGTATTGGATTGTCATGTTTTTTAGAATTTGGGTACTGAATTGTCGCATTTTAAAGTTTGGGGACCAAAGTGATACTAGACCCAAAGTACATGATACTAATTGAGAACTTATCCAAAATAATAAATCAACATTTGTATTCACCCTTAATGTAAACTTGTTCTGATTTATAAAAGCAATATGACCATTAAAAACGGGAGGATTAACATAAAGGAAAGTATTGTTGATTTTAGCTAGGATTTGATGTACTAAATCTGTTTAGCCCTAAAACAACTTTGTAGAGAGCTATGACATACCAACTTATTACAACAGAAATCAAATTACGGTCAGGCAGCGAGGTTATTAGTGCATTCATGCAATTTAAGGAGGACCCTTGAAAAACATTTTGAATATTGATATTCCAAGGGGCAACAAACAAGATAGATTTAGCGAAGGGGCATTCAAAAAATAAGTGATTGATTGTTTCAGAATCTTGTTTACAAATATTACATTGTTGATCTTTGGGGTGAAAATAGGAATTGTCTTACTATAATAAAACTGCTAAGAATCCGCCAAATGAACAGTTGATATCTATGTGGAACATGATGCTTCCAAATGCATTTAAAGCATCTTTTATGGAAATAAGCATGCTTAGTAAAAAAATTCCCAGAGGGATGAAGACTCATGACCCAAGCAGTAGAATTTTCCTCAGGAAAAATACGAGTGTTAAGAAAATCTTGAAGATCCTCATTATTGAAATGATGTTGAAAAAGCTATTGATTCCAAGAACCATTTGAAATGAATGACGAAATTGGGATATTCTTCAAGGTTGATGAAACATGTTGGGACAACTATACATTATTGTTTATCTTCACACAAGGAACCTAATCAATTGCAACTATGAGTTTGAATTCACTAGAAACCCAATTATCTGAAAAAAAAAATCACTCAATTTGGGAGCCACAGACTTCCAAAATAAAGGAACCTAATGGAATAAGAGAATAGGGAATTGTCTCAGATGTATTTGGATTTCTAAAGCTAGGCCCAAAGTTTATATTGTTCATTTATAAATGGCTATGACAAATTTTTAACAATATCAAATTTACCATCTTAGTAATCGAGAACCTCTAGGTTGGGCCAATCTATTCAAATCACACCAATGGAAAATACGAGGATTTGAATCAGATTTGGCTCACCAGAAACTCTTTATTTTTTCTTGATTTCCGAATTTGTTTTCAGGAGAAAATTGAAAGAATACTCATGGAGGGTTAGATTGCAACACTGACTTTGAGCAAAGGCTTTCCACTAATAATCAGGGGTGGCAATATGGTGGGTGGGGAGGGTTTTGTAAATTTTAGACCATATTGTCTCCCTAGACTTCCCAACCAGTACCTTCCCCAAAATCCACAAGTTAGTAATCCAAACCCTTCTCACATATCAAAATGCAAAACCCTCATGGACCCTACCTTCTTTGCATTAAATGTGAGTGGGTTGGGTTGGTTGGTTTAGTTTAGAACCTACCCCTAATTTTCTATTACATATAAGCAATAAACAAGTAAAATAACACAAACAAGCATCAATGAAGTGCTAACTATTTAATTAAACATGTAGATAATACGTAATTATCATTCACATGAAATTTAATATATTATTAAATTCAACACCTAATATATAAGTTCATATGCCTTCCAACAATATACGGCTCGAGAGGGGTTTAATTATTGGTCTGTCATTTGTCAATGCATAAATGTAATGTTGCCAAATACAAGCAAAAGTGAACCAAAATGCAAATTTACCCTGAACCGGGATTTACACTCCATTTGCATCATTTCTAAATAAAGCCAAAAGAACTCCACTTGCCCATGGTTCTTTTATCCCTCTCCTCTTCTTTTGTATCTCTCACGGTCTCACCCATCCATTCCATCGGCCCCAAGTTCCTCTCTCTCTCTCTCTCCATGATCCCCAATATCCCATCTCTTTCATCTCTTTTTTCGTTTGGCTCATTCTCCCTCTCCTCCCCCTTCTCTCAGTAGAGAAGACACCACCTTCGGTCGGAATTTTTTATAGTTGCCATTTCTATTGCTCACCATTCCATAGTTGCCACTGGTTAGAATCAATAGTTTCCATTTCTAAAATGTCATCTTCATAGAAAAAATATCGGATTAGGCGGAATACAACCAATCCATAAAAGATCTCTACCCACATGTTTCCATTGATTTTTTTTTTCCGTACCCAGTGATGAACAACAACCAATTTAGTGCTACTCTTGACCGTAATTCCATGAATCAGATCAAGGTACCACCAAAGTTCTTTTACTAGGCATGTGAGAAGAAAACCTGATTTTCTTACAATGTGTTCCTTTTGTCACTCTCATCAAATATTACATTCTCGGAGATTAGAATAGATGCATGCCTTTACCAAATACAATTAACCTCGTCTGCATCAGTTGACTATCCTTTGATGGAGATTATCAATGTCTACAACTACAACTGTCTCTACCAGCGACAGATGACTAGTTCTCTTGGATGGATTAGGGGTGTGTGCATGCTTGTGTGCGAGTGTGTGTGTGTGAGAGAGAGAGGGGGGAAATAGTAATGGAAAAAAAAATCCATATAGAGTTTCATAAACACGTATCACAACAAGATAGAAAATTGACATGAATTCCTATCGACAGGAGACAACCAAAATTTCCCTATGCAATGTGGGGTTCTACAAAGCCATGTTGCTGCATGTTAATTTCCACTTGGGGGCGTTCGTTTTTTGGATTTTGAGAGGGGGATATTGGTCAATGGGATTTTGGTTTTCATTGACCAAGAATCCCATATTCTTTTTTCATACTCATGTGGGGACTGGGGAAATTTTATTTTCTTGAGTATCACTTCCTAAATGGGTAAATAGCTTTCCCACCCAGGGGAAAGTTGTCAACACTTGAATGGTCCAAAAATACATCTTTTGATAATGGATTTGTATGGTTATAATGGTCATTGCCTTATTTACATAAGAAATAAAAGAACATGGGTAAATGCACTTACCTAGGTAAATGTTTCCCAGGAAATACTTACCCAGGTAACTACATTTGCAAATTACTGAAAAGCGAACAGGACCTTGGTGGCATCATGCATGCAATATGGCTATATACTATTTAATTATTGGTAGTTAAAATTTTCCATTCATTGTTTAATTAATTTTTGTTAATTATTTAATCATTTTCATGTGTGTGTATATATATACATACATACACACATACATATATATATGGTTAATTATTTTTAGCATTAAATAAACAAAATTTTAAATGTTTTATTTTTCATGATTGCTTATTTAATATATGGAGTGTGTTAATATTTTTATTAATTATTTAAATATTACCCTTGTTTAAATGAATGAACTAATTTGTTATTTCTATTTTATTAGTTGTAGAAGTGTGTCATGTAAAACCTAACGTACTGTAAAAGTCTATTCAAACATCAACGATAATTAACTGTACTCAATATTATCTTGATTTTTATGGTATTTGGTGGGGTGATCGTTCTTAGCCTAGCCTACAAATTTTCAAGCTTAGGCCTAGGATTTTATGTTTAGGTAATTAGGTCCTACCCACCACATTAATCCCAACAAATTTGTGGATTGGGCTTGGGCCTAGTTTTATAAATCTGGCTCAGCCCACTAATTTATGGATTTAATGTGGTGGGTAAGATCCAAACATAAAATTATTTGTCAAAACTTGAAAATATGTAGGCTATATAGGTTGGACTAGGATAAGAATAATCACCCAAAAATTACCATAAAAATCAAGACAATATTGAGTAGAATTGATTCCTGATATTATTTGAATAGACTTTCATAAAGTCTGTTCTGTTTCACATGACACCCTTCTACCACCAATATAATTAATTACTTCATACAACAGGGGAAATACTTAAATAATTAATAAAAATATTAAAATTGTCATATAATAAAT